AAGCCTAATCGTAGAAGTAGAGATGGTGTCTGTCTACTGAATCCAAACTGGGAGCTGTTTCCACAGAAGCTGAAGCCGCTGCCTCCTTTTACATCTACTTTTAAATACTCTAGGAACCACAAGTAAGCCAGCAGTCTGAGAGGAAAGTGCTCTGTTGGGATAATATGATACTATGAAGTCTTTAAGATAAGATGGAGCCTGATTATTCAAGATGTTGTATGTGAGGGGAAGGAGCCAGTGAACAGAATATAATATGGGATGAATATGCTCTCTCTTTCTAGTCCATGTCAGTCATCTTACCGCAGCATTTTGGATCAACTGAAGTCTTTTCAGGGAGTTTGTAGAGCGATTTGATAATAATGAACTGCAACAGTCAAGTCTAAAAGTAATAAATGCACAAGCTAGTTTTTCACGTTTCTAATTTTAGTGATATTGCAAACATGAATTAAGGCAGTCTTACATATTTGTTTAATATGCGCACTAAGGGACATATCCTTGACAAAAATAACTCCAAGATTCCTCACAGGGGTACAAATGTCTTCATGAACCAATAAAAGAAGCCCAGTTGCTTTCAGCTCAAACACTTAGGACTACCAAGACCTGAATGACTGACATATCAAGAGAAATGTTTTTATTAGTCTTAATAACTTTAATTCTGTGGTATTGGCCAGCTATGTTCAATAATTCAGGTTATGCCACATTCCTCTACATTTAAGATTTAACATTTTTTAACTTTTTTTTTTTAATTATGTGAATAATTGTTTAGTTTTTTAAAACTTAGATATATGCTCTGTCACTACAATAAAAAAGCAAGATGGAATCAGACTCGGAAAGACGGGAAGGTGAAGGAAGGTCTAGTGGTTATATGGACAGGGGCCAGCTGGAATGGTGCAGACAGAGTGTATATTTCTTTTCTGCCGCTGAATTATAAGAGACACTCTGAAGAGACAGATGCCATAACAGATACCAAAAACTACTCTGCTCTGTCAGCAGTCAGCTCCTAAATTTCCTGTGACAGAAATAATTAAGCTGTCTGTCAACATCAGAACTAAAACATGGCTTCCTTCGTGGCTGGACACGCAAAAAGACGTTTTTTTATTTGCCAGCTCCAACATGCACAGTATTAACGTCACCCAAAATCTCACATCCACTATTCTTTTATACTTTTTTGTACAGCTTCCATTAACCCCTCTAAGTTTGTCCAACGCCAGGATAGCAGCCTCCAGTCTTTACGCTAGGCTAACTGCCTCCGGGAACAATCGAAAGTGGAATTTTGAAGTGGAGAGAAGCTCCCATGTGAGGTTTTTTAAGAGAGAGACCGTACAAGGACAGGTGAAAACACATGTCTTTTAGCACTACATCGACCAAGGCCCATTCACAGAGCTTCAACAAAGGCTTGAAGGCCAAAAACAAATCATTATTTATGAAGGCAAAGCATAAAATGCATTTTTGAAAGCCGCTGCTCACAAAACCCAAAACAACACAACACAGTGGAGCCATCACATATTGGGTTACTTCACACAAATGGAGATTTAAGATGGCTGCAATCAATACGCACTGACACAGGGTCATTGTTTAAAAGCGTATGAATGCGGGTACTTTAAATGTTAGCAGACAAAAGTCTTGTGAAAGGTCAGAAAACAGCTGGCAGTCGATTCCCCGCTAAATTGAAAAGCAAAGCAAGTATAAAACATATATTAACAAACTCCAAAGTAGATATCAACTTTATACGACGTGAACCAGCTTTTTATCGCCAGCAAACCACGTCGGAAGGAGTCGCTTGTGTAAACCACGACGGATCAATGTGTTTCTGAGGATAAAACAAGTTAAAAAAACAGGCTCACCTTTACATCCACGTGAGCCATGAGGACAGCAAAGTTGGTCAGATGTGTACAGGAGCATGTGGTGTGTGTCCTGTTGTTGCCTAGCAAGCGGCAGTCCTGCGTCGACCAGTAACCAGTCATGGTTCGCTTGCTGTAGCTCCAGAACGAACAGTTGGGGTTGAAATTCTCCTCAGATTGCTGTTCGGGGGGGAAAGACAGCAAAGGGATTTGAAGTTAATCGCACATTTGCTTGGCTTATTTCTGCTTTACTTTTAATTTCAGAGCAAACATCCTCAAAAAAAGGGTCCAATTTCTCCCCAATGCAATCCATATCCATTGTAAAGTGAATAGCAGGTGTTTTTGCTGTCATAAAGCATCAAGCGGCCCCCTTGCCTGTCATCCATTGTGCTTTTTTGACCTTTCTCTTTAACTTTCACTGCGTGACAGTGAGCTGCCCCACAGCTTAATGGGCACCACTGCTGTCTGTGCCGGGCTCCGGTCCTAATGACGGGCACGCCTCCCTGCCATCTTGCTCGCCATTTCATAAAAGTCACCCACAACACTGAGGCTGAGTAACAGACAAGCACAACAGAACGCAGCTGCTGATAAATAGACACATCAACAGCCTCTTCCTCTTGAGCCCAATTCTTTTGTAGCTACGAAAACAAAGAGCGAGCGTGCACACAGAGACGCGCGATATCCTTTCCACAGCGACCCTCAGCTTCCAAGGTTAAACGCGTCTGCGTTCTTGCTGGAGATGCTGGGCGATGCTGCAGCTTTTCATAGTTTCACACGCTGCAGGGTGATTAGTCTAATAACGTTTATCCTCTGCGAATGTAAATTTGCCGCTGATTGAGTTTACCCTTCACACACCCAAACCCTGCGTTAAATATTACACGGAGAGGAGGTAGGATGACCCTCTGTCCCATTAATGGCTTTAATTGGTCCCATTAAGTGGCGAGGCAAGGAAGCGAAACCATAACTAGAGGACACATCATCATCTCAAAAGACCAGTCATCCAAAACCGCATGGTTTAGATGTTAATTTTCAAGGGCAAAGTTGAGCTAGAGTCAACTTAGTGGAGCTATAAGACAAGTACCTTTGATTTAGTATGGAAGCCTAATATAGAAGTAATGTAATGCCTACACTATACAGTGGCTGGATTCAGTTTACATGAAGCTGCTATGTACCTCAAGTTGTTTCAGACAGTGGATGGACTGTAGCTGTACTAAGGCCCATATAAATACACCAATACCTAATGCTGTGCTGGTTCCCATTTTACTCCCAGAACAGCCCTGACCAGTCGAGACATGGACTCCATGAGACCCCTGAAGCGTTGCTGTGGTATTTGGCACAAAGATGTTAACAACAAATCCTGCAAGGTGTGAAGTGGAACATCTGTGGATCCGACTCCTTCGTCCAGCACATCCCAAAGATGCTCAACTGGACCGATCTGCAGAGATCTCTTTTGGAGGCAAAGTCAACACCTCAAACTCGTTGTTGTGCTCCTCAAATTGAACCATTTCTGCTTTCTGGTATTATCCTGATAAAAGAGGCCACTATTAGGGAATACAGTTTTTATGAAAGGGTGCACATGATCCGCAACAGTGCTTATGTAGGTGGTGTCAAAGTAACATCTGCATGAACGGCAGGACCCGAGGTTTGAAGCATCACATTGCATAATGCATCCTGGTGTCAGGTGTTCCCCAGGTAAGCAACACACACAATTCAACATAGCAGGACACCTTCTTCCACTGCATCCAGTTCTTATGCTCACGTGACCATTGTTGATGGTTTTGGTGGTGAACAGAGGTCAGCACGGGCACCCTGACTGGTCTGCAGCTATGCAGCCCCCTACACTTCCTTGGAGCCCTTTTTGATAGATAATCACCACTGCAGACTGGTGCCGGCCATCACAGTTTGGTCCTTGTCAAACTCCCTCAAATGTTTACAGTTGGCCATTTTTTCTGCTGCTAACACATCAACACTGAGCACAAAATGTTCACTTGCTCCCTAATATATCCCACCCACTTACAGGTGCCATGACAAAGAGATAAGCAGCGTCATTCACTCCACCTGTCAGTGTTCATAATGTTATACCTGATTGGTGTGTGTCCTAGAGGAAGAAGAGCAATCCAAGAACAAACATATGGAGTTGTAAATGAGCAGAGTAGTACTCACATATCACAGTCTTTACAGTTTTATCACACCAGAAAATAATAAGCAAATAGAGACCCGTTAAACGAAGAGCTCATTCAGCAGCACCTCTGTTTGGTTTACAAGAACAGCGAGCTCTCGATTTAATGCAGCAGTCAATACTATATATATAATAATGCAACCAATCAAATTTAATTAACGGAGGAAGACGAGATTATAATCATGACTATCATGCGATTAACTGTACAGGCCCTCATGAGGACGAGATTTGCTTTAAAAATAAATCTTTTTATTTTGGCGAGGGCACATTTACGTGAGGAAAAGACGAGGCGGCTCTCTTGGCACACTGCAGGACTACAAGCAGGAGAAGCTTTTCCAAAAGGGCACTTTTTATTGAAATGACTTGATCTGAGCTAGAAAAGGGTATAAAAAGCGCCAGTACCCTAACATTAGAGCAACAGTAAAATTAGTGAATCTGCAGTCCAAATTACAAATTACACTTAAGGCAGGTGAGTCAGAGCAATAACTGCGCTGACATTGCCCCCCTGACATTTCCCCACCACTTAATTTTTGACTTCCATAAGCTATCGTCCCTTTCTCTTATTCCCTCCCTCCATCTGCGCTCTGGGTTTTTTTTTTTTGTTCTTTCTTCCAGGTCCCTCCCACATGCGAGACCCGCCGCAATTCTCCTATGGTTGCTCAACATCTCCTGTAATAGCTGAAGGCGTTGTTTGCAGACAAAACAGGGATATTTTGAGGGTAGCAGAGTGTGGAGAAGATAATGGAGTCAAGAGGGAAAAGTCACGACTCCCCACAATGACTAAGCAGCCTCCATCGAGGCCGAATATGACTGATATTTGTTCAGGAGATCAGATTGCTGTTCAGACTAATAAACAACAAGGCGTTCTTGCCATCACCCTGTGAGCAACGTTGTTTTCCACAATTTAATTTTCCACACCTTTCCTTGAATAAAACTTGTTCACATTCGCTTAATTTTCCCGGGTTTGTGATGGGATTTGTACGTTTTGTTGCGCTTCGGTGATAGAGGAAATCGTGATGACAGGTGCTATCAAGAAAGTGAACGTGCGAGCGCATTTTTTTGTATGTGAATGAAAAAATCAGACGCACTGACATCAAAGTGAAACCCATCTCTAGGATACACAAACATGCTGACGCACAGAATTACCTGCAGATGTCTGATGGTGAAAATGACCGGGTCAGAGAGGTAGACTTTGTTAGAGTCCTTGTTGATGGCGGCTGTGATGACCGGCGAGTTGACGATCACAGAGTAGTTGGTGGCCAGGGCTTCGCTGCCCAGCTTCATGCTGGCGTTCTCAGTTGAAAGATAGACCCCGATGTGCTTGTACAGGACGAACGCTATTCGGATTTCACCTGCAAGAGGACAGTTATGAACAGTCTCACACTGATTAAAGAACGCACTGCATGGGGTATCACTTCATTTTAAAATAGACCTTTGACACACACAAACAGTAAGGCTGGGCACTGATGGGAGAGTCACTGGCCGGTCTTCCAAGCTAAACATGTTTTCAGACAGTAAACTTCTGCTCGCTTTCAGTGATGATTGAGTGCTTTGACTATTGGCTAAAACTTCCTCAACCAGTGGCTTTGAATCAAAACACTGAAGAGAAATGCTCTGGAGAAACACCAGCTTCAAGGATCTTTTTTATCTTCTTCTTTCCACAGCAGGTGATCCACCTCCGTGTGTCTACCCTATCCTTAGCATCCTCTTCTATCATACTAACCCTCTACAAGGCCTCCTTAACTAATTCCAAAAACCTCATCTGTGGTCCTGCCTGGAAGCTCCACATCATAATAAGACTGATTATGACGTCAAGTGCAAAAGACAAAGTAAAATCCCAGGTGTTCATGATATGAGTAGGCAAAATTACATTTTTATATTCTTATCCTACACTGTTACCAATACTTTTTAATTCTTGACTTTTTGAAAAATCTTCACTGTACTTTACAAAAAAACGACAAAAAATTAAATCTTCTCTCCTCTTCATCACATTTTTTTTTGAAGCATTTCCCAAAAACAAAATTGATCTGACTCAACAGAGAAGTACTGGCCAATGGCATCCTTATCACCAGCATCAGTATCAGTCAACAGGGTCGATATCAATATCGGTCAACTGATACTGATATAACCTAATTCCTTTAATCTATTCACAGCTACAGCCTGCAGATGGATGTCTGTGCTTATATTCAATTAGAATC